GGTTTGACCATAAGTTTTCATAATTTTGTTCTTGTTAGCTGTTCTGAATGTCGTTCAGGTTTACCTTTGCTGAAACTGGATTTCTTTGGCGTTGGTACAATGATCACAGCGATTTCCACAAACATAGCCTTCAGAAGCTCGTGAAAACCGGTATTTGGCCTTTTTATGATTTTTCTATCATCCACCAAAAGAACCAATACCTAACATTGTAGTTGGAGTGATAAGATTCGGTCAAGTAGTTTGGTTGCTCTCTGTCAGCTGAACATCTCGCGTATAATTTGCGGTGGTGGTTAGCGCGCTCCACTGATAAGAATACGTCTGCTACTCTAAACGTCTATTGTATTAAAAGTTATTTGGCTAGAATCTTTAGGTGCGATGACACCAACTACTGTACGGAATAAGAACACCTAGTTTGACTATGAGGCAGTTTCTCATCATTTATACATAGGGGAGGCTTTCTGAGAAGGAATAGTTCCTCAGAAGGTACATCGGCGCTCATCCAGTAAGGGGAGACATTGCGATAGGGCATTTAGAACCACAGGAAGCTTGTTTTATTGTAGACGATTCAGGACTAAGCCTTAGAAGGGAAGGAGCCCCCGGGTCCGTGAGCAATCTTGGTTTTCCCCCCCGGGGACTTCCTCCCCCTCCTAGGCTTAGTCCTGACCTGCTGACTAGGTGAATATTACTTTTCGTAGACGTTAATGTCATCTAGTACAAGAATACATACATTACACAAAACACCTGAAGAAATAACATAGGAAAAAAGCTGATAGCAGCTCGTAACTTTAAAGGACTCCTTGAGCCAAATTGGCATTAGAGCAGACCGTGCACCGCAATGCCCCCTCTTACCGGATGAGACCGATACATTTCACCTGGATTGAGACGGAACATTGTAGGCATAACTCATGGAATGGGCTACTCCGTTAGTAGTCGCTCCGAAGTTAAAGATAAGACTATGGGGACCTTGAGATGAGCTATCCACACTTGCATCAATATCAATCAATACCCGTGCAAATCAGATGACTTGTCTTATATGTTGTAGAGAGGAGGAAAGTTCTCTGAGATGGACTAAATCAGGTATTCCACCACATTAAAATCTGTCTATGCAGCTAGAGGTAAAGTCAAGGTTCAGGAAATATAGTACAATTAATAAGCATACGGGAATGTGCGCCCAAGACTACTAGTCAGCGTAGCCCTATTCCAAAAATCTTCCAGAATGGTGATAAACCATATTAGTGGGAAAGAAAGGGTAATCATCCACCTTGATGAAATCACAATGATGGCCCGAAATGACGCGAAACACTCAGCAAGGTTGCGAGAAGCTGGACAGGAGCTGAACGGTGACAAGTATGGATTAAAGAAGGAGCAGGCGGAGTTCCTGGGAAATATGGTGGGCGCCCAGGGGTAAGACTGGCACCAAAAAAAGTGCAGCTACAAAAAATGTGACGGAATAGAGTCATTCATGGGGATGGTCCGACATTACGATAAATTCATTCGGAATTTGTCCACTACCATCGTGTCCCGAATATACTTCACCTTCTTGATGCCCTGGTACTGGCGCCCTTCTATAGTTCTGCGAACTAATCTTGGAGGGATCGGCACGATTTTCGCGACATCGACGTGAACCCGAAACGGTCGGTTCAGTCATAGCTATAAGCAGTTTTTTTGGCTGGAATGAGGCTCCATGACTGCCTTCAATATCGTCAGCGTAGCCGATAAGGTTCAGGAAACTGCTTATGGCTATACTGAACCGAATACTCAGGGCTTATGTCGGAGTCGCGAGCCTTCAATTTCATCAACGTAGCCGATCAGATTCGTTGCCCTGCGACAATGCTGCTAGTAAGGCTGAAGGCTCCTCTTTCATGGGTATATATGAGATGTTCATCCCCCTTATTTGTTACCTTTCTGGAAGACAGAAAATTCTGAAACAAACTCCAATAAGTGTTGCGAGAAGTCCCAGGCACATACGGTCTCAGGCTACGGGCTCGATGAACATCGTAGGCCGCGGCTAAGTTTTGTCCAGTCGGCAGGATTTCCCTCTCTCCCCATTACTTTGGTGAAGGCATTTGCAATACCACCACCATTTTCGTCCATCTCCTTAATGCTGCTCGGGTGAAGTGCTTCCACTGGCGTCTTCCATATCCTTGTTGTTCTGTTGCTGATGCTCAACTGATTCAGCCTAACTCCTTCTTGAGATTTATCGGCTATTTCGGCTTTCTGTCCACATCACTTTCTTCACGATCCCTCCTCTTCTCCATCATCCTCACATAGCCAGCGTCCATGTCCGTTCCCACCGCGTCTTCGCACAAACCAGCCCAAGCCCTGTCCCTCCACAGGGAGTTGGCCTATTTTGTTTAGATGCAGTCTATTCTATGCCTGCATTTTCTGTCATTTCCACATCGCCATGGAATCCTTTTCCGTCGTCGGCCAAACTCATCCACTCTCGGAAAGGTTTCACCCATCTTGGGATGAATCTTCAAGCTTGGTCGGTTCAGTACGTGCGTTGCGATGCCTCCAGATGTTACATTATCTCCTCCATTTATGCTTGCAGGGCGGAAGTGGTGTAGTGGCAAGTGGCACGCTCACCACGCGAGCGGTCCGGGGATCAAATCCTGGGTCGTGAGTCGCCCGGGCCAACCAAGCCTTCCATCCCTCCGGGGTCGGTTAATTGGTACCAGACTTGTCTGGGAGGATAAAAACACTGACTTACATCGGCTGGCCCCCGCAAGTCATTGTATAGGCCACATCGCATTCAAACGCCACTACGAATGTACAAATGGAAGTAGAATGCGTGCCGCATCCCAAAAAGGGATTGATCAACGGCAAATGCTTTATTTATGCCTCCAGATCAGTCCACAAATGAGCTCTGAACACCCATAACACTTGACTGCTCGTTGTTCTTCTTTTGAGCTCGACCAGCACATACCAGGTTATTGTTCAGGCCAAGTGGAGATAGTTGGTGGCGGATGGGTTCAAAACGACGAGGCAGCCACACATTACGTCGACATTGTCGATCAAATGTCCTTTGGACTAAAGGTCATTAATTTATGAAGCAGGTAGCCTGAAGCACTTTGGTAATTTTTTCCCAAAATTCAGAAACTCGAGCAGTTGTTCGGCCAGTGTGGCAAACCAGAAACAGCATGGCAGATTGATCCGTTCGGTCATAGCAAGGAACAAGCCAATTTGTTTGCTATGGTATATACCAATTTTTATTTTTTCCTAAATCGCTTTATCAAAATCGCTGCTACTAATGAACAAGCAAAGCGAATGAAGCGCTTCATAGCTTTACATCCGCTCATTGTGCGGTTTCTCGTTCTTAATCTTTCCAAGAAGCTTTTTTCATCTCTAGGCCGATGTCAGGCTTTGCGAATCGCGCGGTCGCGTCGCGGCCAGCGAATCGCTCGTTTGGCTGGTACCGCAACGCGACCGCGGACGCTAGCGAATCGCTCGATTCGCAAAGTCTGACATCGGCCTTATCTCCGTATGGTTGAAACCTGGTTCTCATTTGTGCTACACGGTCACTCCCATAGCGTCAATGATGACAGTGTGAAAGAGCTCTCAGGACCCGCTATTATGTGGTCGTTTCTTCGAAAGAGTTGCGCAATGGAGCACAGGAATTCGTGAGTTAATGTGAATGGCACTTGAGGGAAAAACCTTTTGCCTCACTCTCATCATCCACGGTAACACTCTCACTTATCACCTTGAGAGTCCCTTCGACCCAATTCCCTACAGCCTTCTGTGGCAGCACAGCGTTTCAGCCCTGAACTTTTTCAGTGAGAGAAAATTGTTTGTTCCTATTGTGGCGGACGGGTGCAAAAGCATGGTGGTGGCAATCTCCACCGACAGCAGGGTTAAACTTTTTCGCGACCGCCGAAACTAGAGGGCAGTTATTGTCAAAACCTGAGACCAACTCTCGTAGATAACGTTCGATATAACAGACACTTTCCCGGAAGTGAGAGCAGTTTGTGCCCGGTAACATCCAAAAGTGGGGCTCCATTGGGGTTCGTCTTCAAGGTGAAACCACTCAAAGATCGGGTTGAAGGTGATGTGGATGTGATACACATTCTTCTGGATCTTGATAATCTCTCAACAACCGTTTGCCCTCAGTGGAGTCGTGCTCTTGACCAGGTCCCCAAGTCGATCATAGCCGCTCTGGCCACCCACTTCCCGGCCTCTGGGGCAAGAAGTTGTGGCTTTCTTTCTTCCTGACCTGAATCTCTACGTAATGGACTTCTTACGTAGGCTTCCAGAGAGTAAGATCATAGACCACTGCTATCTGCTCAGTGGGGCAGCTCGAAGGTTGGCGTGAAGAAACATGGAATAAACATTCGCCGTACGACTTCCGCAGCGCACTAGGCTGAATTGTTGTTGAACCAACAGGGCTATGTCTGATCAAAATATATTACCGTGCTCTACCTTCTAAAAATTGCGACGCAGGCTTCTAGTTGAGCTTGTCCTCAGTTCGTCAACGTAGCCTCAACACTCTTTCATGGGAGAGCTGTTACTTTAACGAGCTTCCATTTTGAAGTTCACGCTCGAAAATATGGCGCCCTTCAGTTTCATCCACCCTGTATTCTTGGAGTCATACTTCCTGCAAATAGGCCCGCATGCGCTGGAGTAAAGCCTTACTCGTCCGAAATGCGTATCAAGTGGTCAGATTAGGACTTGCGACCATAGACACCTCAAGCAACCTTGCAGTTCACCGTCGGAATATAATATGTTCGCTACTGATTTGCCATAAAGTGTGCTTACTTGTCTCGCTTTTGCGATCCCAAGCTGTTTGAGTCTGTCTACCTCAAAGACTCGCCACCAGGATGAATAACGATCAAGGAATCCTCGACCATGGCTCTGTACTGTGCGAGAGTAATGCCAAGAGTGAACGTAAGCGCGGAGAGCACAGACGGTGAGCATGGCGAGGGTGAATGTCAGCGCGGGAGAGCATGACTGTACAGGCAAAAATTCTTGACATGTCGTTGAGGGATCCTCGACCGATATTCACCCTGCTCGCCAGCCTTCCAGAAAAAGGAGACTCCCAAGTTGACTGTCATCCTTTTTCTTTACTAGCAAGCCACCTAGAACCATCTGCTTCATTTTTGAATCCCCTCACCCGCTTCCGCTGTCGCAGCATGTGCTTTCAAGATCTTCAGAAATTTCAAACCGATTTCATTGATCCTTCCCGATCGCGTTAATAATCATTTGTATTCAGATGGGCTACACCTCAGTGTTCTTCGCCCGACAACACTATTTAGAAAAAGAAGCTCGATTGGTAAAAACAAGAGTCTGGAGTTTATTTGGAACACTTCCGATGATCTAAGTGAGTCTTTGCTGGAATTAATCAGTTATCTACAATTTTAATTTGCTAGTTATATCTATTACTATACCTATCGTATACTTATACTATTATCTCTGGACCAGTTATAACTACAAATTGAATTTCTCAGAGACGCAGATTTTGGGCGGCTCCTTTTTCCAAGACGACTATGGACCACCGAAAGGTTTCTGTTTTGACGCTCTGTGCGGAGATGACCCGATCATGGACAATCCTGACCTCGAAGGCTACAATCTGGACGAGAAAATAAGCGCTTTTGTGACGCATGTAAAGAACCAGGCTAGTTGCTAATGTAAGCTCATTCTGATCATGCATTGTCTGAAGAAATTAGTTCAGTCGTCATTCCTTCGTTCATCTCACGTAATGCTATTGATGGGAAGTGACTTCCAATATACAGACGCCAACACATGGTACACGAATCTGGACAAGCTGATACAACATGTGAACGGGAATGTGAGGAATGTTCCGCTTTCTGACACCTGCTACAGCAATACTTACAAAAACAGTACGGCACCTGCATTTAGGCCACCCACGGTCTGCACGTGTTCTATTCGACTCCGTCATGCTATGTGAAAGGCCTCACAGAGTCATCGACTACACGTTTGCCCACAAAGGATGATGATTTCTTTCCGTGAGTCATAGAAATGCACAGCACTGTATGAGAAGACTTAGACTGGTGTCAGAGTCCCGATCCGTCGTGGGATTTTCGCGATTCGCGCGAATCGCGCGACGGATCGCGGGCTCTGAGTGAGACCCTCAGGGAACCGGGCTCATGATTAATGTGATCATACTCGGCCTAGGATTACCGAAGAGAAGACGAGATTAAGTTAGTGGTTACTGAGACATTTGGTCAATTTTCAAACCTAAACATCCATGATAAGTCACGCCTCCCCTCCCTCCCCCTCCAACAACGAAATGCTCCTGATGGGATTATAGCTCCAGGGAAAAACGCGCCTGCCCAAAAAAATTTTCACGTTGATTTTTCATTAAATAACAGAGGGTTAATATCTCTCAAAAAGCTGGAGAAGCATCCACATATCTGTTCAAATTCGTAGTTCACTTTTTTAAGAGGTGTAGTCATTTTGGAGAAGTGTGAGGTTCTAAACGACTGCGGTAGCAGATAACGCGCTCTAGGGCTAATAAACAGTTTCTGCTTGGATCAGTGAATTCACATTTTCATTTGCCAACTGGATGTTTCCTACAGTTTCATCTTACTTTCTCAACCCTATGACCCTATGATGTCCACCTCGCGTCCTTCTCTTTAGCTCAGATGATGACGCATAGTGACCGATGCAGAAAGAAGGGGGTCGTATTTGGGAATTTCCGACGCCACGCTTGGCTCTGCGGAGGCGTGCCCCAAGTGAGCGGAATTTCCCACAACCTTTTTACGTCGTTCCCGAGACTGTTTCAGAGACAAGGTAAACTGGGTGGAAGCTGGCGAGGTCTTCTCCTAAACAGGGC